GCGGGGACAGAGGATGACAGGGTGATTTTTCTTTGGACCAAAGATTTTGTGCCTTTCTCAGTTGCGCAGATTTCTGTTCTTGCATTATTTTCACCTTGAATCTATGTAGCAGTTGTGATGCCAAATACTTAAATTGACTTTTTTGACTGTCTTTGGAGTTTCCCCTGGTAGGCACCCAGGGATAGGGTCCCTCTACTGGTTGGGTTCTGTAACACAATTATATATTAAAGAAATCTGTGAACCACTTCATTACAGGATAGTGACAGCTTATTTTAGCCAGACAAAAGCAACAATTGAACTTCATTAGTCTGCAATCACTTGACAATTATAGAAATATTGAATCATTATGTTGTACACTGAAATTAATATGTTATGTGTCAGTTATACAGCAGTATTAAATTTAATTAAATTAAAGTTGGTTGAATGAATTCTTGAGGTTGACAAAAAGCCAACATGAGAAAATAGCTTTAAGTATGAGTGGCTTAACTAGATGACACAACAATGTATATGTGTGTGTGCATATGTGTGTAAACACATATACATGTTCATATACATAGATCGGCTCATAGCAATAAATATTTTTTAAATAATTCTAGGAAAATGAGTAAAGAAATAAGTAAATTTAAGGATGTGTTATATAAAATAGGTTGCTAGTTTTACAAATTCTATGTATACTTATATATGGAGCCTTTCTGAAATATTACATACCCAATAATTTGAAGACAAAGTCTTTTTTTTTTATTTTATTTATTTATCTTTAGAGGGGAAGGGAAGGAGAGAGGGAGAGAAACATCAATGTATGGTTGCCTTTCATGCATCCCCTGCTGGGAACTGGCCTGCAGGGAACCAGCCAGCAACCCCGGTATGTGCCCTGACTGGGAATCGAACCTCGATTGTCTAGTTCGCAGGCCCGCGCTAAACCCACTGAGCTACACCAGCCAGGGCTGAAGACAAAGTCTTTAAAAAGTCTTTTGTTGAATCATCCATGACTGGTTTTCTCCAGTTGTTCATCCTCTGCCCACCTTAGAAAAGGATATGGTGCTACAACCAACAGAAAAACGGCATTTAAAGCCATGCCAGTATGAATTAGAGGTAAGCATACTGAAACTATTTGCTTAACTGAATCATTATATTATTACAGGAGATATCTTTACATAAAACAGGCAAAACCATTGCCAAATGAATGAATGGATATGAACTGAACAAGAATAGACACAGTTCATGTAACTGTACTTATGTATATTTTGTTAAATTTATGCAAGTATAGTTCATGTTTGAGGCTGTTGCAAGATATAATTTTTTGTAATTTCTATATTTAATTGTTCATCTCTAAAATGTAAAAACATAGTTGATTTTCATATATTGCTCTTGTATCCTGTGGACTTTATTGATTTACTTATTAGTTAATAGCCTTTAGTGTATAATTTCTAATTTTCATCATAGGTAATTATGTATTCAATATGATCAAACTAAATACGAATTGAAACAAAAGAACCTAACCGTACACCACAATGTGATGGTAATGGCAACATCATACAAAGAGTGAATTTCTAAGAACTTCATTGAATACATGACTTAAGTGGAAGAATTTAAGGTAAAAATATTATAAACCAATTTTACTTATCCTTGGGTGATTTGATTGATGGTAGAAATATGGTTATTGAAATTTTTAGATAATTGTTATATTTCTGTGTAAAGCAAATACAAAAATATTAGCAAAAATATTATGACAATAAAGATACACACTTAATACGTGGTGAAGTAAATGCAAGTCCAAGCTATCTTGCTCCAAAAAGATTAAAGGCTGAGCAAAAACATAATTCCATGTTTTAGAAAGTGCCATTCTAAAAGAAAACAATCTCTGATCAGTTGATAAATATATAAACATAAATATAAACATATAAACATACAGTGATAAATGTAGAAAATAATTGACCAAGGTAATCCAGACTGAGCACGTACATTGCAAATTTCTCAAGATACAAAATTACAGTGGAAAGAGAAATATATTTAGAAGTGGAGTGCTGGGATAAGTGTCTCAATTGTGTGAATTTGAGAAAATCACCTAACTGTCCTAACTGAGTCTAAGATGCTTAATCTTTAGATGCTTACTTGAGATGAATTGGATATATAAGTCAACTAAAGGAATGGGGATTGGACTAGGGTCTAATCTAAGAACTCTGAACTCCAGAGAAATAGAATAAATTAGTCAAAAACAACACATGTTACAGTCTAGAAATTTGTTTGATGCGGGTAGCTGAAAGAGAGAGGGGAAAAGAGAATCTAAGATGATTATTTTGCTTCTGGTAGAATGACTGAATAGGTGAGGTCAGGTCCCTGGAAAAGAGAGACATAGTACTGGGTACAGAATAAGCAGCCAGCAAAGCACTAGAAGGGGTAAAACAAGAAAGGCAGTAAGATTCTCAAGGAAAGATTAATAATAAGTACCTAATGGTGTGGAGATACCAAATAGTGAAGTGAGGAAATGATTGCTGGCCTTAATGGGACTTAGTTGTGACAGCAAGAAGCAAGTGAATGAGAGATTGAAAGAAGAATTAATTTCGGTTTTTCTTTTTATGTGAGAAATACATCAGCAAGTTCATAGAACTAAAGGAAATGAAGGTAATTAATATAAATACATTAGACAAATAAATGTGCTCCTGATCAAAAGTGGGGCTCAGCGGCCTGCCACCGAACACAGGTATAACACAAGGCTGGTGAGAAGGAAAAAGGTCTTTATCAAAATGTTGCACAATTTGGGGGAAAGGGGCACTCCCTGGCTTTAGGCTCCTCTCTTCCACAAAACACAGAAATCCCCAAAAGACTGAAACCCAAAACCATGCCCTGAAGTTCCACTCTGTCCTTCTGGAACCCCTCTTCTGCTCTTCTGGAACCCCAGGCTGGTAGGCAGACTGCCCTCCAACTTGCTCTTCCTGGGGTCCACATGTGTGGGGCTGGCACCATCATCACCACACCACAGCTTCCCACTCCAGGGCCCAGGACCACTACCCACCTCTGCAGCTGGTCTTGTAGGGATTCTGTCCATGCAGCCCCAGCATCTAAGGCTGCTCAGCATACAGTGCTGGTGAGTGCTCTGGCCATGTGTCTGTGCATGGATCACAGAGTGAGAGAAGATGGAGTGGGACTTCTGGGCATGGTTTGGGGTTTCAATATTTTGGGCAAAAAATGGGTTCTTCTGTGTGTTGTGGAAGAGAGGGGCCTAGAGCTGGGGAGTTTCCTGTTCCCCTAAGTGGCACGACATTTTAATAAATACCTTATCCCCTCCCAACCAATCTTTGTCTTATGCCTGTGTTTAGTGGCAGGCAGCTGAACCTCACTGTTTTCTGTAAGACATAGACTGAAAGTGTGGACCAATGAAGGAACGCACCAACGAAAAGAAGAGGGAAGGTGATTCAGGCCATTGGTAAAAGAACTGGGTATAGGTAGGAGGATCAGAGATGGATAAGAAGAGCATCGGGGCTTCTCCTAGACCAGAGAAAAAGAGTCAAAGTCAGCGTTTAGCTGGATACATTTTGGGGATAGCAGTGCAGATGCAAGCAGGAAATGAGGGAGTTGCAGCTTCATGTTTTAAAGGAATGTCATTCCACCTCACTTGGTTTCAAATATTTTCCCATTGTCCCACGCAGATGAAGGTGGTCCTCCTGTGTTACCACAATTCTGTTTCCACCTGTTTGGCTTAAACATCTGACAGCACATTGGTCGAATCGATGACTTTTTTCTTAAGATTTTATTTATTTTTTTAAAGAGAGGGAAAGGGAAAGAAAAAGAGAGGGAGAGAAATATCAGAGTGTGAGAGAAACATCAATTAGTTGCCTCTTGTTCCCACCCAGATCAAGGACTGAACCCACAGCCCAGGCATGTGCGCTGTCCAGGAATCAGGCTGGTAGCCTCTTGCTTTGTGGGATGACGCCCGGCAACTGAGCAACACCGTTCAAGGCATTGTGACTTGCCTTTTTATTTTTAAATACCCATCATATAAAACTGTGTAAAGTCAATATATCTCCCAAAAAGTTTCTAGAAAATGAAACTGCTTTTTGTTTATTTCCCAGCATGAAAAATGTTTTCAAAGGGAAATGTTTTGACCATGTGGAAGAGGTGAGACAAAAAAATGGCAGAAGCACTAAAAGGCATCAAAATCGACAAGTTCAAAAACAGTTTTGAGCCCTAGAGAAAAACCTCTCGATAGGTGTAATGCATCAAACGGAGAATCTTTGAAGGCGATTGAAGTTTAAACATGTAAGAATAAACACACAATTTTTAATAAATAATTTATAGGTTTTGTGCCCCTGTCATAATTTGCTTATGTGTGGAATTTTAAAAACAAAACAAAAATAAACTCATAGATACAGAGACAAAACTGATAGTTGTCAGAGGAAAGGGGTATAGATGAATGGGTGAAGGGGAGGGAATGGTACAAACTTACGGTTATAAAATAAATAGTCACAGCCTGAGGGGAGAGTGGAGAGAATTTCAGGGAAAAGGGGGAAGGATTTACAGGGACAAGTATAAAGGACACATGGACAACAACTAAGGGGGGTGGAAATGGGAGGGAGGTGGGCTGGGATGGGAGTAAAAGACAGAAAACTGTACTTGAACAAAAATTAAATTAAAAAATGCTTAAAAATAATAATAAATAAATAGTCACAGGGATATAATGTTCAGCATAAGGAATATAGCCAGTACTACCATAATAACTCTGCATGGTGACAGGTCATTATTAGATTTATTACGGTGATCATTTTGTACATTATATAAATGTTGAATAACTATGTTGTACACCTGAAACTCATATAATAATGTATGTGAACTACACATTAATTTTAAAAAATATTCTTCAATTAAAGAATATCTAGTTGAAGAAGCCATTCTGAATATTTGAAAGTTTGTTGAGATGGTACACTTCAATTATTACTGAAGTCTTTCTGAGATTATACATTAATATATAGCTTATTTTATTAGTTATTTTATTGTTTTAAAATTACAATACTTTTGTGCCAGTACTTTCAATCATTTCTCAGCTCATAGATGACCCTAAAGATGTCAAAATCAAACTTGAAACCCAGTCTTTCATTTATCGTGCCTTTCAGATCCTTGATATAGATATACCAACAAATCAAGAATATTCACGTTTTCTACTTCTGTTCAGATCAGGCATTGTCATGCATGGGGTGAATGTTTTCTAGTGGGTGGATCACTGGAGAGGGTCATGCTTTCCCACCAACATATACCTGTGGAATCAAGTCATCTCTAGGTTTGTTCATTGGAGTTCCTTGTTCCCTGGGAGATTTATAAAAGGACATGTTTATAATAATCCAAGTTATGGTAGTTCCTAGGTATCTAAAAAAATCTAGGTTTCCTAAATTTGAGAGCATCCCCTTATTGGATGATGACAACAAGTTGCATAGTTTATCTCGGACTCATGTCATGACCTGCCAGTGTGATGTCTTAAGAGACAATGGACTCATGTCTGTCGCCTGACTTTGAAAGGCTGGCATTCCACCATGGCATTCCGTGGTGACCCACTACCACACTGAGGATAAGTTCCATGGATCATTTCTCCTTTCAGAATTTAAAATTAGTCACAGGATGGCAAATCAGTATATAAGTTGGCTAAGTGAAAATCTATAGCAAAATATGTATCGATATATTTTATAAACAAAGTAGATCTCAAGACATCAGAAAATCTAGATGTTAGAAATTTTGCCTTTCTTGGAATGGTTTGTATAAGAGGGTTTATATTAAACGCAGTGAACATGTAGGCTCGATCTGTGGTTGCAAATTAGACATCCCTGTAATGTACACAAAAAAAAGTCTGTGTTGATGTCTTTGAAATAAACTCTTAGGTTCATACAAACCTGGTACTTGCTGTTGTTCCACCTGCTTCTTCTTCATGGGTGACAGGCAATGAAGCTAATGTGAACGTTTGCAAACAAATGTCTTATTGACCAGAGAGCTGACTACTCAAATATCAACCATGGCATTGTGACATTTAATACATATTCTCTTTGACAATTAAAGTCATGGGGCGGGGCACAAACAAATAAGAAGAATGGGCCAGAGAGTTAATTTATTGACATTTGGGAACTAACGTTCTGAGAATTTCATTATATCTTGTTAAGAAATGATAACATTTTCACACCAGTTTAATTTTTTTGCAAGATTTAATGGCAGTAATGCTATTTCAAAACAGGTGATTCCCTTAGGAAAAATAAACAAAAAAAATGAAAAATCCTGGTAGTTTTCAGTGATCCAGCAATTCTCTTTTAAGGTATTTTTTCAAAACAAAACTTAGGTTCATTTTAAAAAATTAGTATAGGTATGTTTATTTGAACTTTATTTAAATCAGCAAAGGAGTTATAGGGCGGGGGGGGGGGGACAGGACTCCTTAATTGTTGTCCTTCCCTTGTCTTAAATGGCCAACAACTGAAACATAGCACTAGAAGACACTGTTTCCCTTAACTTTCCTGATGCCACAAGAGCTGTAGGTGAGGTAGGGCTTTCTTATCGCTCCTTACAGATCATTCCCTCCAACTCCAGCCTTGTTCACAGGTCAGTAAACTACAGCCTATGGGCCAATTTCCTTTTTTTTTTTTTTGCCTGTTTTTATACAACCCTGAACTAAGAATGGTTTATACATGATAAAGCATTGTACCTGGGAAAAAAGAAGAAGAAAGGACAGAATTTGGAGAAGGACATATGTGACTGGGAAAGCCTAAAATATTTATCATCTGTCTCTTTACAGAAGAAAACTTGCAACAGACCACAGCTCCACAACCCTTCCTCCTTGCAGTCCTCTGCTAAGCCCTTCACTGCTCCACCTCATGTCTTCCAAGATTTTATCTTGGAGTTCACTGACTATTTAGCTCATGACTGCATTAGTAATCTCAGCATTTATTTAGATGGTCCTTTAAGCACCTTAGATTCCCAACTATCCAATGGTCTTGTTCTCTCTTTCAATAAAACATGCTCAGGGTCATGCCCTGGAATGTGTCATGACCAACAGCAGTGATCCCTCTATAGTCCTCGTACCAAGCCCTCCAACTCATTCCCACTTTGCCGCCTATTTCAATAAAATGTGAAATTTCATTTGAAACCTAGGAGACTTAAAATTTTCATTGATTATAGCAACATTTCACTTTTCCTCACTTCTCTCACATAATTTCTTCTCCTCCTCCCCTGAAATATGTTCTATGGTTAGTCAGAGCAATCCCTCTCTTGTGTACACCATCAATTCCCTGGACTGTCTACCTGTTTGCTATTACCCCTTCCTGAATACATCCATCCCACTGTCCGCTCTGCACATCCACCTCTGCAGATAAACATGGCTGATGAAAGCAAAGAAGCATGCTAAAATGTCCCACTTTCATCAAGACTACAAACTCCACACGTCCCCTTACTGGTTTTCAGTAATCATACTACAGTTTGGCCATCAGTTGAGCCTTTTATGTCCTTACCTACTCAGCTCTTCCCCACCTCCTGACTTTGCTTTTTATTTCACTGAGAAAATCGAAGTAATTCTAGCAAACTTCCCCAAGTTCTCACCCTGTGTTGACCCAAGCACGGGTATTCTCACCCATACAGTCTTTCTTTTATTACTGTAGATGAACTGAGGAGTTGCACTCCTTTGTAAGTATTGTCTCCCTGTCTTTGTGTGCTTGGTTCCATCTTGTTGTGGATTCCCAAGGCATTTGCTCCAAGGGTTCTCTGCTTTCAGTCCTGCGTCATCAATTTCTTCCTTTCTACTGTTCATCATTCCCATGAACATACAAATATATTTCTTTTCATACATCTTAAAAAACAAATAGCAAACAAAAAGCAGTTAAACTTTCTTGACATCATAGTTCTTTCAGCTTACTCACTAGTGCTCTGTACTTCCTGTCTCTATTTCCTTTCATTCCATTCCCTTTTATATTTACTCCAATTAGTCCTGCTTTGTTCATCAGTTACCAACATTGTCTTCTCAAGGTTAATAATGGTATCTACATTGTTAAGTTCAATCAGTCATTCTCTCTTCCTTAAAACACTTTCTTTACTTGGCTCCAGGTTATCAAAGAATCTTAGACTCCTACCTCTTAGGCAACTTGTTCTAAATCTCAGTGGCTGCATTTGTCTACCTTTGAACTCTTCTCAGTGGAGTGCTTTCAGTCTCAGGAATTGAACTTGTCTGTCTGCACTCACTTCTTTGGGATGGCTCCCGGTATTAACGCTTTCCCTGGTCTGTATGCTGATGACCTCAGCTCACATCTCTGGCCTGGATTTTTCTCTATTCCAGATGAATACATATCCAACTGCCTACTTGACAACATTTAGATATAAAAGGGCATCTGAAATTTCAATTTCTGATTTTTTTTACATCAAATAACCATCAATCATAGGTTATCTCATTTTAGTAAACGGAAACCCCCAAATTTCTCCTGTTGGCTCATGTCAAAAGAACATTGAAGTCAAACTTGACAGCTTTCTTTCTGGCATGTGTTGATGCTTGTCAAATCGTTTTGGTTGCACCTTCATAGTTTTGGAGAATGCAACCATTTTTAACAGCTCCACTGTGAGTACCCTGTATGATACACCATCATTCTTCACTTTTATTATTCCCATAGCATCCTAATTGTTCTCTCTGGCTTTACTCTGCCTCCTTAAATCCTATGTTTAACACCAAACAAAGGGCTCTTTTTTTTAAATGGAAGACAGAAGATGTCACTCTTTTGCTCAAAATCACCCAAAGGTTTCTCATCTCAGGCAGATTGTAAGGTAAATCCTTACAGTGACTGTCAACTAGTTTTTACAATGGCCTGCTGGGTCACACACATTATCCAGGCTAGTATTTATCTCTACATTTAATTCATCTGATGTTTGCTTTCTACACTCCATCTACTCTGAACTCTTGGCTATTTTTCAAATTCCAGTCTCAGAGACTTTGCTTTCTTTGTCTTCAATAACCCTCCCATTTCTTTCAGATATTTACCTCCTCAAACATCACTTTCTCAGAAAAGCCTTTCATCATCACTCTGTTTAAAATTATGTTCTGCCGGTCCTGTGCCTACCACAGTGTCTGATCCATTCCTTTTTCAAACAGGTCAAACTTAAGCCCACTTGTCTGATAGCTTCATGACATATATTACTCTCTGAGATTATTTTGTCTCTCTATTCACTCGGATTACTGTCACTGGTCTTTATTATTGTATACTTTGACATTTCTTTATAAAAGAATAACTAGCACATAGTTTAATCTATTATTCTTTACTCTGTATCTAAAAAGAGAATGCCAGATCTGTTAGTTAATCTACCTTTTCTCATCAACAATTCTCATTTCCAACTGAGCAAATCCAACAAATAATTCAACTAACAAACAGACAAAAATTAACCATAAAGATATCATTATTAATAAATAATTATATTAATAAATTATTAATAAAGATATAATTGTTGAAAATTTCCCTCAGATTTCTTACACAAATGGACCACAATAATAGGCAGATGTTAAATAGTGATTAAACTGTAACTATAATAATGCCAATTTGCCCTGGCTGGTGTGCCTTGGTTGGTTTGGAGCATCGTCCTGTGCACCAAAAGGTCACAGGTTGGAATCCCAGTTGCACATACCTGAGTTGCAGAGTGATTCTGATCTGGGAACATATAGGAGGCAGTCAGTCAATGTTTCTCTCCCACATTAATGCTTTTCTCTCTCTAATCCCCCCACCAACTTCCTCTCTTTTTAAAATCAGTGGATGCGCCCTGCGGAAATGATATTTTAAAATGTCAAAGGTTGAGATAATATTGAAAGTGGAACTCTGGTAGTCTCACTGTACTCTGGGACTGTGGTCTCAATTCGTGGGAAACCCATGCCCATTAGTTCTCTTATCTATCTCAGAAGAGCAAGCACGACATCTCTAAATAACAAGCTTTATGCAGGGGATTTAAGGTGCCACATACTACTCCCTTAATGCAGTTATTCGTTCTAACATTTTGGGAAAAATAAGAAAATTGATTCTATTTTGTAAGAGAAGAATAGAATTAAGAAAGACTGCTTTAGAGAGTGAGGAATATTCCTTGTTGACAGACAGAGCTCAAACACTAGTTAAATGAGTTCAATTTCCCAGTGTTAATTCAGTTGCACTTATAGAGTGGTTAAAATGTGTCAGACATTACCTTAGGAGATACAGGTCTTAGTTCTTACATGCATATCACAGGATTAAATGAATATATGCATATAAATATAAATATAAATAAATAACATGTATGAGTACACATGTGTGTGAATGGATATTTATTTCCTCACAACATTATGAGGTATACAGTAATATTAATTTGTATTTTTTAGAGAAATAAAACATGGACACGGGTTATATGGGCTCCCAAGATCACATGGCTAGAAGTGGCAAAGTGGGATATCAACCCTCAGAAAGGCCAGCTTCAAAGTCTGTACTCTGCGTTACTTAATGACGGTGGAAGCTACTCTTTCCTTCCTTAGGGAGGGTGACAGGGAGAGGAGGGATAAGTAGAAAATGTGTCATTATCTAAGTAACCTTAGGGTCCTGGATGTGCCCTAAATCTCCACTGTTCCATTGTGGACAGTGTGTCATGTAGATCATTAGAAGTTAATGATGCTCAGATGTTCACCATATAACCAATCAACACCTTCACCCAGAAAATATTTCTAATACACTCAGTAGTAACACTCTGCAAAACACTCTGCAAAATAACCACCATAAATTGTAGTATGTATTCTTCCTAATCTACCAAACAGGCTCAGATTCTTGCCCTGAGTGAACATGTTGGGGGAAGCACAGGAGAGTGTTCTAGCTGCACAAATACCCAATGTGTGAAGAGGGTGCTCAGGTAGTAGAAGCTCACCAGACTCCTGAGGGGCATAAGGCACAGGAGTCAGGAACCAGGGGCAGGAAGAAAAGATTTGCATTTCCTTTGTGCTCTGAGTATTTCAACTGTAACTTGAAGAGAATCTGCCTAGCAACCTAAGGGGAGTAGTGGGAAGAAAACCACAAAGTGGTTATCTGGTGAACTTAAAAACACTTCAGCTCCATCACAGTAGTTCTTTGCTGCCAAATGCCAGGGAATCACCTGGCATTTGTTGATTGGGTCCCATGATTTATAACTAACTTTTAGTCTTTCCATTTTTCCATGTTTTGACATACCTTTTCACGTTTTTAAATATGTATTACTG